AGCCCGAAGTCAGCTAAAGGGCTAATAATAACTTTCAAAATGCCTGCCTTTTGAGATAAATAAATAAATGTCACAGCCTATAGTAAATACGCGCTATTACAATCCCCATCCGCCATTCGTTAAAAGACGACTACATTAGGCTGAAAAAAACACGAAAATGTAAAGAAATGCACCAGGCTCTAGGTCAGAGTCCATTTCTCCCAACAGCATATTTTAAAGTTGGCAAGAATTTTACCGTTTTATTTTTTCTATTTTAAATAATAGATGTACTGCAATTCTTAGGGTAGCATTAACTAGTAAAAACACCTCAATTCAATAAGTCCGCAAAGGAATATTCTTCTTATCTATGTGTTGTCGAATGTTCATTTTGGTATAATTGAAAACGCTATTCGACTTCTGGATTCACGAAAAAGTTTTAAAACCCCTAGCTTCTTTGATTCACGCTCCCAGTATATTTATTCTTCATGGGACTCATAAACGTAGGTAAACACGAGGGAATTTTATTATTTACCTATTTTTTCTGACTGAAATTGTTGTCCAAACGAATAATTCTCTTCTTTATTAATTATAAATGTAAATTATTAAGTGGTGAAAAATTGTATGTTATTATATATTAGTAATGAGTGCTTTCAACAAAATTGCGGTGAAAAGAAATTTTCAATTTTCAATAAGAATACGAAAAATACTTAATATAATAATGGAAATGGGGTGTGCGATCGACTTATCTCCACGTGGTGCACACTGGGCAACGTATTCTCATATGGCAAAAAAGTCTATTTACCGGCAGTTGTCTTCTGACTTCAAACTACCACGACCCCCCCTGGTTGTGATATCCGACCCCTACACAGCACTCACCTTACCTTTTTCTCTTCCTTTGCGTCTCTCGACTTTTTTTCACTCTGATGTTCCTTCCCCTCCTTGGAGCCTGAAGTTCACTAAAGGGGTAATGATAACTATCAAAACGCCTGCCATTTCGAAGTCAGGTAAAGGGGTAATGATAACTATCAAAACGCCTGCCATTTGATGTAACTAAATAAATATTATAATAGAAATCCGACCTGTGGTAAAAATGCATAAATAGAACTTTTTAACTGATGAGTTAAGCATTAGATGCCAATTACCAAATGCGCACAAATGGCAAATTTGAATAGTGAAGCATTAATTGCATAAAACTTGATAAAATAATCGATTGTAGGCACTTTAATAGCTTAAAATTGCTTTTCCTTTATTAAGCTTTTTTCCTATTTATTATTTTATTGTATTTACAGGATAAAATGGAATTTCACTAGCTCAACACAATGTAAAATTTAACGATTCTGCTTTTGACTTCCTGAGTGCATTGATAGCACATTGTTCTAGAAAAGCAAGTAAAATTTTTTTTGGCTTGTCATGATATATTTGACGATGCAACTCCGATGAAGAAGAACAAGAAGAGAATTTGGATACAAAACATTCCTAGAATTTTATTCAACTGGTCCAAACAGCAGCTATATTGTACACAGGTAAGAAGATGAAGAAGAAGACGAAGAAAGTGTAGTGAAAACCGGTTTTGGAAATACCAAGAGAGAGAGGGAGGGAGAGAGAAGCGGTGTATTAATAGTTGCGTGGGTTCTGCGTGCATAGATTAATAATAATGCAGCTTGATAATGAATTCACCCATTTCTCTCTTTTCATTTCCACCTTCTCTGTAATCCGCTCTACATTTCGCAGGTTAATGGACATGCATCTCAGAATTTAAATAAAACACACACACACACACACACGCACTGCTTCTTTGCTACGTATGTAGTACACCTCTATAAAAATAGGGTAAAGGGGTATATATATATATATCGACGTGTAGGGCATGGAGGTAAATAACTGGGCTTTTTTGCTTGCATACTAATAAGAGTAATGAAAGACCTAAAAGAAGTAGTATATAGTACAATTAAAGTGAAGAGGGAGGGGGGGAGGGGGGGAGGGGGGAGACGATAAGTAGAGCGGAATCTCAGGAAATATGATGGGGCTCCCCCACTGAAGACGTTAAATATGTGGTCTCCGTCTCCGTCCTTATAAGAGGATGTCTTGGCGCCATGAGACTATCCCCCAAATTTCTTCCTCCATTGCACCTGGCTGTTGAATAAAAGTTTGGAATAATGCCATCATTGTGGGGATCTTTAATGACCCTTGATGGAAGCGCTTTTTTAATCTGTGTGGAGGGTAGAGCTAGTGAAAAGTGGTCTTGAGCCTGTGGATTCTCAATTATGGAATCCAAATTTGGGAGTTGTCTTCGGACTGCATTTCCTCCACCTGGAAGAATTCGATGTGAGCGAAGAATTGGAATGGAAATCTGTGGAGTCCTCTTTGGAATTGACGTTGGGCGTTCTGATATCCTAGTAATAAGAGGTAGACGTCTGGTTATATTGTTCTGATAGACAGTTGGAAGCTTTCGCTTTGGGGCTTCTATGGGATGCTCATCTGTCAGTGATGTGTGAGATGAATATGAAGAAAGAGTCAGCGAAGATGAGAAAGATGAAGACCTGGATGGATTTGCCAACTTCTTGAGGGTGGGTTCATTGGATTCGAGTGATGGACGTCGGCTACCTTGTCTAGAAGGCTGTTCAGCAGTGTCAATTAATTCTGGACGGAATTCGCCCTCCGCTCTCTTACGATCGAGCTCGTCAAAGATTTCTATTGGATCACGGCTGCGCTCCTGTTCATTTGCCTTGATTTTTCCCGCCAGAAGACTCATTATTCGAATCGCGCAGTTGTAACATTGTTTGTACTCCACCTGGAAGAGATAATGCGAAAAATGTTACATAAGGTCCTCTTTCTTCTTCAAGGCCAATGGCTTGATGAACTTTTTAATTGGTTAGTAATCGCAAACTGCTATTATGTCGGCAACGTTGCCCAATATAAATGACGCAAAGGAAAGGGTGTTTTTTTCCTGCATAATTATTTTATTGGCCAATGCTTTTGATCATTCCGGTAACTGAGTATATGAGATGGAAATTAACACCGTGACCCCGGCCTTAGAGGCGGGCTCGATGACTACAGCAACCCATTTGTTTTATTAAGTAGTTGTTTTGTAAGTAGAAAACAAACGACCCATTAAATAATAGTTGCATTTCTAGGACAAGCAATTTTAGAATTGGCTCCTAATTGGTGGAAAATGCTGAACTATTTGCTTATTTCAATACTGATGACCATGTGCATTGTTCGGCTAAAACCCATATTCCTGCGGTCTCTGTATCGTTAGGTCACTGACTTAGCCTTCATTCTGCATATTTATATAGAGTACTTAAGGTAAGTAAAAAAAGGGTTGACAATTACGCAATTTGAGAGCTCTCGAAGAAATTGCAATGTTGTCAAAGAGTAGTACTCACAATAACCCCCCCCCCCCTCTACTAGCATTCATTACAGCTCTTACACGATCCTGGCCTAAAACTGAGTGATTTTATATGCTCATTGGGAAGGCCCCGAAATCTGCTTCAGTTCTGCTAATTAACTGTCTGACTTCTGTGGTACTGGCACGATGCTTAGTGTCTTTCTCGACATCTCCCAATTCACAAATGTTAATAATTAGTCCAGTAATTCATTAAGTAATAAAGTTAAATGGAATTTAAAATAAAGTGTGATGCAAATATGCGATAATGAGGACTACGTGCTACAGATTTTCAAGATTTGAACCCAATAGAATATATTCTTTTGTGGGGTATCTTTCTTCTCAGCAAGCATTTTGTTGTTAAACGAAGACCGATAAGTCTACGTATTTCATACATTAGATGCATCTCATTAGTGACACAAGTTACGGTGATTTTTCGTTTTATTAACTGGCTAGGCGTTGGGAGCACTTTAATGTGTATTTTCATGATTGGATGAGCTAAGTAGTTGAACTGGGAGGCATTCTCACCTGCTAACGATATTGTTTTGGGACCATTTATTACCTAGAGCGAGAACAATTAGCTGATTGCCAACTGTTTAAAAATTGAATAAAAATGCGATATTTGTTATACATGAAAAAAGCTAACAATTTATAAAGAATTCAACACCTGTAGATACTTTTTTGTTAGATTTTGTTCACACCTCAGCAAATGTGTAATCCGTTCACATTCAAATTTATGAAATAAACCTAGAGTCTGGATAACGTTTAGGAAGAGGTCAGATTTATGATGAAATCATAGTTCCGTGTATTTATTGTCTTTGTGACTATGGAATATATGCCAATATTATTTTCCAATAGCTCAAATTTTCACTTTCTATTCGTTCTTTCATTGTTATTGCCAAAGTTAGAAAGTAACTATAAATAGAGCCTTTATTCAATTACTGCATTCAGGTAGTGGAGCATTCATAACGTTTTAGCTAGCTTTTAAAACACCAAGATTAGTGATCCTTCGTTTGGTTCGCAGTGAATAATTGTCTACGGTTTCAGCTTTAAAAACCATGTTCCAATAAACTGGGGGGGGGGGTCATTGTTTCTTCCAGTGCACGGAAAGGCAAGTCATCTACCACGAAATCCGGTGATCAGACGTCTCAACAAGGAAGAAGTGCAAAAGGTCAATGAGCTTAACTTTTCTAGCTCACATGTTTTGCTATTTATACCGCTAATTCAAATTAATAAAAAGTGTGACTGAGATATTGTGTTAAGGAAGTAATGAAATTAGGTAATTAAAAAAACAAATGGGTTTTAATGTCAGCTTCCAATTGATAAGTCGCAAATTCACTATTTCCTCCTCCTACAGAGAATTTATTTGTTTATTTATTTATTTTTGGGAAGATATATTTGTTCGTGAATGCAATTTTGAAGGGATGAAACCATACATTCGTTCATTGAATGAAATTAGTGTCATATTCAATAGCCTTTTAACGGTACACACACACACTCACATATATATATATATATATTTGACTATTGATTTTTAAGATGTTAATATTATACAGGAATAAATAAAACAAATTCAGTTTGAGAATCAATGAAATTGGTATGGGGCAAAAAAAAATTCTGTCACCACATTCGTGTCCTATAAGTAGATGTGCATTTACTAAAAATTTATAATGAAATATTGATACAAACTGTTTTTGAAATAATAAAAATGTCGCAGTATGTTGAAATAATATATTTATTTTATTCGTTTGTTGGAAAATCAGTTTAATATTTAACACTTTCGATATTGATAAAATTATACTGCGATTATAAAATTTTCGACCATTTAAAACTCTAAATTAAATTGTACATTTGGCTTTAATCGAACTTTAGAACCACATAATGAATGTAATTTAAATAGTATTGCTTAATGGACAAATTCAATTAATTGACTTTGCAATCAAAATGTCGATATTCAACCAGAAGAGGATAGAAAATAAGCCTTCTTGTTGCCATAGCGAAAACGGATTACAGTTCGATTTGAATTACTTACTAAATAACATTATTTATATTGATTTGTATACACGATTTAAGGAAAAGCTTTGCTTCCAAGAATAACTGGAAGAAATCTAAACTTTAATTTTGCCAATTGACAATATTTAGTATGTATTAACACTTTTATTGTCAAGTTAAATGATGACGGCTAAAATAATGTTCCTTTTATACGTAGTTTGGCTCCCATCAGCTCAAATATTTGGGAAGAAAGAACTTTTTGTATTCAGTGGCTCACAGACTTGGCATAGCCGTCCTGACAGAGAGGTAGAGAGAGAGAGTGTGTGTGTGAAAAAATAAAGTCAGCAGAGGTTTCTAAGCTGTGTTCACTCATATGATTTTATCTTCTTGCTATCTCATGCTAGCAGAGTTCTTAATGCAAGGAAACCCAATAACTTCTCTTGTTATCTCTGTTGCACTTTGATTAATATTATAGTGTTACAAAAAATTATTTCTAAATACTCAGATGGGGCGCAGAAACCCCAAAGCAAATTATTTGTAATGTTAAGGTTTGGTTACAGAGACGACATTTCAAATAATTAGCCAAAATGTTTAGGAGCGTTTTGAAATCCGATTGGTAGGATTAATTGAGCGCGTTTAGTTTCAGTCTTCAAGTAACAAAGCTGTTTATTAATTTCAAGATCTACGAGCTGATATCGCAACTAGGAAGAAGGAAAACCAAAATTTTTGTTGTTATGTCATTCGAGCTCAAATTCTATATTAGTTCATAAATAACACAAATTCGCGTAAACCATTATTCAATCAAAAAAATGCATGAAATTATTTAATGAGCTCGCTATGAGAAACCTTTCAATAATAATGATAGTATATAATCACACATTTTATTCTGATTTAAAAATAGGTAACAAGATCTAGATTGAGGCACTTTCCCTAATTTTTCGGCATGATGGCGTGACGAGTCAAGGTCACCCAAAATGCAAAGCCAATTTAGCGCGCCATTTAACAAAATTTGAGGTGATAAGGGAAAAAATCGAAATTTAGAATTTTGGAAAAAAATCAGACAAATTGTAAAATTCAACTGGTTTTATGGCAAACTTTGAATGCATTTCTTTTTTCCATAAGTGTAATTACTATGGTACTCTTTAAATGGTTCAATGGTTATATAAGTTGTCATTGGTAACAGCTTTTCTTAAAGCAAAGAAAAATAATTTAATAACCTATTGTAACTGAATTCACCGCGTTATGCTTGAATACCGTCGAGATGACAATTTTGGAGCATTAAAAATTTGGTTACATTTTCCACAATGGGTCATTTTCATCTGGTTACCATTAGAAACAAGCAAACAGAGCAGCGATGATCAATCTGCCGTGGAACTAAATCATCAGATGACAAGTTTGAAGGCTTGTCGACACAAATCCATCTAAGAGATTGGGTGACAGTTTCAGAGCACTTGACCTCAAATTATTTCAAAGAAAAAAACTTGTAAATTCGTGGCTGTAAGACACTTTGGAACCTACCTAGAAAACTTAAATTTCAAATGCAAAACTTGTCATGGAAAAAAGATTTATAGGAATTTTTGTCTCATTCATCACTTGTAATTATAAATCATAGTGACAATGTCACAAAAATGAACGAGTAATTGGAGGAAATGAGCAAACTCAATCTAAATAATTTTGACCAACTAAATGAGTAAATGTGGTTGCAATAAAATAAATGGAAGTAGTAATTAGGGAATGAAATGAGCTTAAAGGCACAGGAACTGACGGAATGATACCACCAGCGATGAGAGCAAAACTTAGACAAATGGAAGCACATTTACGAGAAACGTAGTTGCTGTGGAGAAGGAACAAAAATAGAGGGAGGGGGAGGGGAGATTTAATCAGTGACTTACGAGATCGGTGACAAGCTGGGGTCGATTCTGCTTGACAATCTCCACAGCCCGAAAAACGTCTACTTCAGACTGAGCCAAAATTCTTTCCATGCAGATACTTATCGCGCAGAAAACTCCAGCACGCGAAACTCCGTCACTAAATCACAAGGGGAAAAAAATAAACGAAAGGATTAAGAAAGAAGGGACAAAAAAATTATTTGATCAAAATATGTTTCCTTTTACATTTTGTTGAACAATTCAGACTTTTTCCTCGGCAAGTTCTGCACAAGATGTTAATCCGAAAAGTGCTGCTTTATCCTACTCGACTCAATAAATGATCGGAAATTCCATTAAACTATCATAGTGTACGAATGCTAAGCTAGTGAAATTATTGAGTTTGCGGCACTTTTATTTGTCAGGAAAAAAAGATAGCTCGAAGTCACTTCTGGAATAAACCCGTTTTCTACTTCCTCCTTTGCTGAGCAGAAACAATCAGTGAGGTTATCTAAAAACAGCACTAAAAAGCATCGGTTTCGGTTGAATTGACTTAGAAGATATGTATTAGGTTGGCAACTAAGTTATTGCCAATTTCAAATAAGAAGGCAAATTCGG